GAGAGAGAGAGAGAGAGAGAGACGGAGGGAGGGAGAGGGAGAGAGAGAGAGAGAGTGGGGGGGGGGAGAGGTGGTTCACAGCGGCGGCCCCTTGCCCCTTGTGAACGAAATAATGCAAACGGGCCTTTGTAGGCCCCGCTGCCCTCCTGCTCGTCGTGGCCGGGATGAGAGCGGCCCGCGCAAAGCTGCTGCTGCGCGGAAAATAGCGGCGTTTTGTTCGTCCGTTTGTTGGCGGTGTGCCCTGCACGCCCTGCGGTGCCTATCTAAGTTTCTCATACATGCAGCCAGCCTCTGCTGCGCCGAGGGACCCTTGACCGTGGCAATTACATGGAGACGAGGTGGGGCGCCGGCCGGGATAAGAAGATGTGTGCGATATCAGCGAGGTAACCTGAGGCCGAGGGAAAGAGGGGAGAGAGGGTTAAAGGGGGGGGGGGTGCGTCATTTGCGCTCGGAAACGTGCGCGTGTCCTGTGGTGCAGCTGTGGGTAATGCCGAGGATGTTGTCGGTCGGGATACAATGCGGGTCACTCGGTGCAGCCAGCACCTGCGCCACACGAGCCGCCCAGCAGCAGGAGGAGACCAACATAGTTATGCTTGGGTAGCGGGTGTGCCTATGCAGGGGACTCAGTCGGGATGAGCGCGCGAGCGAGCAGCAGAGAGAGAGAGAGTGAGGCAGCGGCGGCCGGTCCCTCTCTCTCCTGCACCCGTCCGTTCGCTCTGGTTCTCGCTTAAGCCCGTCTCTGGCAGCAACGCGGGGATCTCTTCCTGCCTGCACCCTCCTCCCATTCGCCCCGTCCCCCCAAGTCAGCGCAAAGTGTGAGCCGTTTGCATTTAAAAAGAAAACGACGCTCGCGACGCACTTTTAGAAAAAAAAGACGAAACAACACGTGTTTTGCGAGCGGTTTTCTCTGCGCCCATGACGACAAATGTTCTTTCTGCGGAGACGACCGTGTACAAAAAAAAAAAAAAAAAACTACTCTTTGCAAAACTGCAGAGAAATTTCGTTCCGCTTGTCTCGCTTGCCGTTAGATTGTCTCACAGTCTGGCCGGGCCGGCTCCGAGATGAGCGGGAGGCCAGATACACGTACGTACGCATAACGAATAACGGGTGTTTGCGGGACTCGCCGCGGCCGGCCCCGCCGTTCAGTTCAGCAGCGCGGCCGGCCCGGCTCGGGGACGAGCACGTAATGAATCTGCTGACGAGCGTGACGTCACAATAACGTTACCCTCATGTCACACACGTGTCACACACGTGTCACACACGTGTCACACACCACTTGTCACATCGATTTAGACGATGAAGTAGTGGGCATGAATTATGGGATATACACGCAACGCGCGCAGCTCTGCTGACTGCGCGACTGTCGTCGAGTGTCACTCCTGCCATGGGGATGCGCGAGTGCGGCGGAAAGGTCAACGAGAAAGAGTTTGTGAACGACGGTCGACATCATCATGCGGCGGTGGAATTGCTCCGCTCGCCGCGTCCGCCGCGTCACAAGAGAGTAAAACGGAACACGTCGTCGCGGCGAGCAATTTCGGGCGCCGTGTGGGCCTGCCCCCCCCCCCTCCCCCTCCCCTTTGCCTTATCTACATCTCAACTAGCAGTTACCCTAACGTGAGAGCGGACCGCAAGGACCGCGTCGTCACACAGACAAAGGCGGGGAGCCCCGCGCGCGTTCAGTCCCATTTTTTTTTCGTCTGCGTTGTGCGCGCGGATGCGTCAGTGCGGCGCAGCTCCGAGGAGGAACGTCCTGAAGCGCGACGCTCTTCGGCAGCGAGCGGGCTCGACAGATCCTCCCGGCAGGGCCCGCAGGGTCACTATGCATGGCAGGGAACACAGTCATTCTCCAAGGAGTGCGCAGTGCCAGACGAAGGCAGCTCGCGAGTAGTAGCGACGTGGTAGCGACCACCCTGTCCGCCCGACGCCTCGCCGGCCCACTGAAAATGTAACAGCATAACAAATTTGTCCCGCACAGTTGTTGCGGGAGTTAGGGCAAGCGCTACAGCCTAGGAGGTAGGCAACATGCAAGCACCAGTGCACCGCTGCTCATGTGTTGCCTACCCACAGGCGCTCCACCACGGACGCCTAGGAGGTAGGCAACACACGAGCACCGGTGTACGGCTAACCACAGGGTTGCCTACCCACAGGCGCTCCACCACTCCCGCCTGCCGCCTATTATACTGTTTTCCGCATTTTCCGTTCAAAACGCGCGCCATGGTTGCTTCGGATTTCCGCGACTGGACGTGACGGCGACTAATATGCACCAGCGACGGCATGAGGAGATTTGTCTCCATCTTGAAATGGTTTGCAGTCCCATGACCACACGGATCTTGTTGCTGCGCTGCCGTCCCTGCCGCCGCCGCTGCTTTCGCATTTTATGACAAATCCGCGCGCGCGTGTGCGTGTGGGCGACACGCCAGCGACGCCAGCATACTAGATGTCCTCGACGAGGAAAGTGCCGGTGTAGGGGGG